ACCTCTTCTTGTTCCTTGCTTTGCACAGGGCTCTCCTGGTGAACAAGGTCCTTCTGGTGCTTCTGGTCCCGCCGGTCCAAGAGTAAGTCCCTAACTGAGCCATGACCTCCAGCCGGGGCTGGAGCATCCTTTGGTGGGGGAGAGGGTCCCGGCTGTCATCGGCTTTCTCATGGGGACGTGGGTCGGGGCTGGAGGGGACGACTCTGCCCAGGCAGGATGGCCGTGCTCACCCCTTCTCCTCTCCCACAGGGTCCTCCCGGCTCCGCTGGTGCTGCCGGCAAAGATGGTCTCAACGGGCTGCCCGGCCCCATCGGTCCCCCCGGCCCCCGTGGTCGCACCGGCGACGTCGGCCCTGTCGTACGTATCGGTCCCTCTGCCGCTGCCCACCCAGAGCTGCCCGCCTTCATCTCCGGCTCACCATCCTCTTCCTTCTCCTCCCACAGGGTCCCCCTGGCCCACCCGGCCCCCCTGGTCCTCCCGGCCCCCCCAGCGGCGGCTTCGACTTCAGCTTCCTGCCCCAGCCACCCCAGGAGAAGGCCCACGACGGCGGACGCTACTACCGAGCCGATGATGCCAACGTGATGCGCGACCGGGACCTGGAGGTTGACACCACCCTCAAGAGCCTGAGCCAACAGATCGAGAACATCCGCAGCCCCGAGGGCACCCGTAAAAACCCTGCCCGTACCTGCCGCGACCTGAAGATGTGCCACGGCGACTGGAAGAGCGGTCAGTGTCCCCGCGTCCCTCTGGGATGCTCTCGCCCCCATCCCTCTGTCCCCTCTACTTGCTCCTCACCTCCCTCCTTCCTCCATCGCCCCTGGTTGATCCTCACCTTCATTCCTCCATCCTGTCTCTCGTGGTTGCTCTCACCTCCATCCTCTACCTCTCGTGGCTGCTCCTCACCTCCATCCTCCATCCCTTCACCCTCCGTTTCTGACAGCTGCTCCTCACCTCCTTCCTCTGTTCCTCACGGCTGCTGCTCCACTTTATGTTCCACCTGCCAGATCCCTCCTACCTGCTCCTCACCTCCCTCCTCCATCTCTCACGGCTGCTGCTCCTCACCTCCTCCCACCACCCCTTCATCCTCCATCTCTCCCAGCTACCTTCACCTATCCCTCTCATCCTCTCTCCCTTCCTTCATCCCTCATGGCTGCTCCTCCCCTCCATCCTCCATCCATTGTGACCACTCGCCTCCCTCCCCGCTCCCTGACCCCCTTCCCTCTGCCCCCGCAGGCGAATACTGGATCGACCCCAACCAAGGCTGCAACCTGGATGCCATCAAGGTCTACTGTAACATGGAGACGGGAGAGACGTGCGTCTACCCAACCCAGGCCACCATCGCCCAGAAGAACTGGTACCTCAGCAAGAACCCCAAGGAGAAGAAGCACATCTGGTTCGGCGAGACGATGAGCGACGGCTTCCAGGTGAGTAGGGAGGGGGATGATGAAGGGGGGTACAACTGGGATGGACAACCAGCTCCGCAGTGCCTAACGCCTCTTCTCCGGCAGTTCGAGTACGGTGGTGAGGGCTCCAACCCAGCCGACGTCGCCATCCAGCTGACCTTCCTCCGCCTGATGTCCACCGAGGCCTCCCAGAACATCACCTACCACTGCAAGAACAGCGTCGCCTACATGGACCGGGACACCGGCAACCTGAAGAAGGCCCTTCTCCTCCAAGGCGCCAACGAGATCGAGATCAGGGCTGAAGGCAACAGCCGCTTCACCTACGGCGTCACCGAGGACGGCTGCACGGTGAGTGGTCCAGGGGATGGTCACGGTGGCGGCGGTGGGGACGCGTTATGGGGACGGGACTGATCCTGACCTCCCCGCAGAGTCACACCGGCGCTTGGGGCAAGACAGTCATCGAGTACAAGACAACAAAGACCTCTCGCCTGCCTATCATCGATTTGGCTCCCATGGACGTTGGCGCTCCAGACCAGGAATTCGGCATCGACATCGGCCCCGTCTGCTTCTTGTAAACTGGACGCCCCACGCGTAACAGGAGAGAGTAATAATAATGATAATAATAATAAAAAAAAAAAAAAAACAGCCAAAAAAAAAGGAGAAAATTTCACATGGACTTGAATTTGTGTCGGTTTCTATCCAGCGTCTCTAAAACTATTTGCGTTTCCATAAAAGAAAAACCTAAAAAACACCCCCCAAAAAAGCATTAAACCAAAAAAAAATAAAAATAAATGACTTTTCAAACAAAATCACCAGGAAGTGGGTTCGCTTGCTTGCCCTCCTCTCCTCCTCCTCGGGGTCAGGCACTCCTCACCCCCGAAGACGGCGTGGCTCAGCTCACCGAAAGCGCTGCCGCGGCTGCGCCGAGCCCCCCCAGCAGTGCCGAGCCCCCCCCCAGCCCGGAGCGCCGGGACCAGCCGAATCCCCCCCTGCAGCCGACCTTTCCCTGCTGGCCTCTTTGCTTCTTGCATCTCATGAGTATATTAATTTTTTGCTGCAAGGAAGATGTTTAACTCTTGGTTATAATTTGCTTTTTGTTGTTGTTTTCCCTCTCTCTCCCCCCTCCCCTTGTTTTTGGTTTATTTTTTGTTCTTATTTTATTTTTATTCAGGCAGCAAAATCAATTCATTCCCAAGCACATCAGGGGAGCAGCCGCTGCCCCCACCGCTGAGCAGACCCGACCCTTCGCTGCATACTCTCCTTTTCTGGAAGGCTACCTCACCGCTGTGCTTTGGGTTGTTTTTTGTTTGTTTGTTTGTTTTTAATTTGGGGGTTATTTTTATTTCATTTTCAAGTAGTCTTAGCTTCGTTTGGGGTTTTTCAGCCATGCCGGGACTTTCCTGCCAGGTTCAGAGCAAAGGTGCTAATTTTTCTCTAATATTCCCCACCCCATTTTGTTGCTCTGTTGATCTTTTATTTTTATTTTCTTCCATTCAAGGTCCCTCGGGAGTCACTGAGGTTTCTTATCCCCAGGATTTTTATCCTGTGCTTTTTTTTTTTTTAATTCTCTTTTATTTTGGTCCCACAACACCCGAGCCCGGGACCGCCTGGTGCTACAGCCTCCAAAGGCGCAACTCAGCTTGATTTATTTTAATTT